TCTTTTTTAGATGACTGGAGTGCTGGCTACAGGCTATTCTCCCCCGCAAATTCCAAATGCATAACCATGAGCTGGGCTCTGCACAGTACTCACATTAGAGATGGGATCAGGAAACCAGTTACCCGGTAAGCACCACACTTACCAGGTGCTACATACTAGATAATGGTTAATGGGTTCCCTGGGGAGAGCCAGCCCCAGATGGGGGCAGGGGACTGGACTCGATGACCTCTCGAGGTCCCTTCCAGTCCTAGCATTCTATGAGTACAGGGCTGAAAGCGGGAGCCCCGCAGACTCGAGAGCCTTGAGAGCCTGCTAGTCAGTTAGCCAGTTAAATATTAGATTAACCTCCTAACATTTAACTGATTATCTGATTAATTAACTAATTTCAGATGGAGTATGAGGATTGTTTTTGTTATTTTCATCATGTAAGGCACCAAGCCGTGGAAGTGTGCGCTGGACTGACACTGCAAAATATTCTGCTTGGACTCAGTCTCATCAGCCGTCCTGAGTCATGGAAAGTCTGAGGTATCCCAGCCTCTGTTCTCCCTAGGATGCAGTTCCAATACAGCAAGTGCCATCTCGTTAACATTAAGAGTTATGGCTAATTCCTCACTCCCACTGGAAGCTCCCTCTCCTCCCATCCCACTGAAACAGGCCTCTCCCCACTGCAGAGACTAACCCCAAATGGACAGTACAGCTACATCCACAGTCAGCTCCTGCTAATGCTCCTCACGGCAGTCAGCTCCATATCCTCTATTTGATGCACGTGCGTGAACGGTCCATGGGCACCACCTACCCCAGCCATGTGCCAAGACGACAATTCATCTACCACTGTTACGGCTCCCTCACTTCCAAGGCCACGCAGATGATACTATTGGAAGGAGCAATGGCAAATGCCATCTACTCTATTGGTCCTACAAGATTTAAACAATTCAAGCATACGTTGTTTTACTCAACCAACACTGCAAAAGTCCTGAACCTTCACACCTATCTCTGGGAGACCCACTGGCCTAACCTTCCAAAAACTACTCCGTTTTGTGAGGCCATCTTCAGACACTAATCTCCAATCATCAGGGCCTTTAAAGTACCCCAAATTAAACACCCAGAAATCAGTTCTCACAACTGAGGATGTGAGTATTGTACATTAGTAAGTCAACTCGGAGAATGAGGCGTATGAGGCTACTGGGTGCATTCCGGCCAGCTGTTTGGTGTGTGCAGGTTAGTGTTTACTAGCGAGATGTTACAGATATTTAGCATCGGCCCAACATATGGTAACTATCGCTGGCATCAAAGTCTCAGCACAGAGAACAGAATGCTCGTGGAGACCAACAAACTCCTTGATCCAGGTCATGGTGAAAGCCAATCATGGGGTAATGCAGGGAAGTTTCCACTGTCACTGCCCTAGCTGTGTCAATTCTGTCGATCTCCATATGGATTTCAGCTGACTAAAACCACACTCAGAAACATGCAGCATGCTTTTCAAACTACAAATATTGCCGTCCTCCACTATGGAGAAACTACTGCAGTGACAGCCATTACAGTTCCTCATTACTAGTAGGGATGTAAAATCCCGTTTGGTCAGTAAGCCAGTTAAACATTATATCGAGTATCAGAGGGGGAGCTGTGTTAGTCTGAATCTGCAGAAGCGGTGAGGAGTCCTGTGGCACCTTATAGACTAACCGAAGCATTGGAGCATAAGCTTTCGTGGGCAAAGACCCACTTCGTCAGATAACATGCACGAAAGCTTATGCTCCAATGCTTCGGTTAGTCTATAAGGTGCCACAGGACTCCTCGCCGCTTAAACATTATATTTCACCAGTTAACTGATTAAACAGGGATGGGCAGGGGCCCCACTGGTTAACCATAACTGGTAAGCATCACCCTGTAAGAGTAATGCTTACTGGTTAAACCATTCACATACTCAATTACAAGCATTACAGTAGCCCCTAAAAGCCTCAAGTGAGATCAGAGCCCTACTGGCCTCGGGAAAAAAATGCAAAAATGCAAGGAGTTAACAATCTAAATAGACAAGATGTGCAAAAGATGCATGAAGAAGAGGTGGCACATGCTAAAGTTCACACAGCAGGCCTGTGGCAGACTCAGGTCTGGCATCTCCCTGTGTAGTTCCCTAGCCACTAGGTCTTGTTATCTCTCCAGTTATATGCCAGGCAATTACTCACAATCTTGATATATCAAATTCCAAGTGCAGCTCCAACTACGGATACTGTGCCTAGCTCTCCTATGCAGCAACCTGAACGAAACATGGTTGGCATAGTTACGCCAAGAGTGCTCAGCTCATATGTGAGGCTCGACTGGCACCAGAGCTCAGCTCCTAGGTACGTGGGACCAGCATGAGTTCCTATGCAGGGTAGGCATAGGGCCATGGCTGAACAGAGACAAATACTAGCTCGGTCATGTGCTAAGAC